TTTTTTAACACCAAGTATCTGCAGATTATGTCCATTTTATGGTCCCCATCACCCATTATAGAAGATCCCTGTCCCTCTATGGGAATGTTCTCCAGCAGAACCCCCTCCTACCACTGAATCGAGATTGCTCCCTTTCTTTATCCCTGTTCTGTCCCCTCCCTTTGTAGCCCCACCCATTCTCCCATAGCCCCTCTTTCCTTTTCACTGTTTATTGTTAACTGATTAGGATCCATCACACATTCCAATCTATAGAGAACACATTTATTAAGCACTTACTGTGTGCCAGGCACCTAACTAGTACTGGGAATACAAATATAAGCAAAAAGACTGCCTCTGACAACACAGAAATAAAAGCAAACTGAAAGGGTTGGGGGGACAAGGAGGAGCTTGAGTATTTCCTCAGATGGAAGTTCTGGAGAGGAATTCACCACATTCCCAGTTCTCCAGACTTCACCTCCACCCTAGCAGCGTTCTAACTCTGCAATGATAATGATGATGATAGGTAGCATTTATACAGTATTTTAAGGTTTGCAAAGCACTTTGCATTTATTATCTCATTTGATCCTCATCATAATCTTATGAGGTAGGTGCTATTATTCTCCCCGTTTTGCAGATGAGGAAACTAAGGCACAGAGTGGTTAAGTGACTTGACCAGGGTAACACAGCAGGTAAGTGCCTAAAGCAGTATTTGGACTTGAAGTCTTCTGACTCCAAATCCAGCATTCTATCCACTGCTTCATCTGGGTGCCTTAGATACCTCTGCCCTCTTCTCTGATTGGTGAGTGCTTCTCCAGAACCTCCTTTTAAGGAAATATCCAAGCCAACCATACTCTTTTTTTAGCTCCACTCCTAACTCCTGACTATTTAAGGGGCTCCCTATCACCTCCAGCATAGAATATAAAATCCTCTGTTTGACATTCAAAGCCCTTCCTGACCTGGGTCCCTCCTACCTTTTTAGTCTTTTAATACCTTCCTCTTTCCTGAGCTCTTTCCCTACCCTGTACCAGAGTACAGTTTCAGTGATACTGGCCTCCTCTCCATCTTCTGGTTCTGTGCATTCTCACTGGCTTTCCATCATAGCTGAAATTCTTTCCCTCCTGATCTCCACATCCTAGCTTCCTTGGCTTTCTTCAGGTCTCTTCTAAAATCCCACCTTCTGCAAGATTACCTTCCATGCTAGTGCTTTCCCTCAGAGGCACCTAGGTGGCACAGTGGATAGAGTGCTAAGCCTAGAGTTAGGAAGACCTGAGTTCAAATCAGACTTTGGGCACTTACTAGCTGTGTGACTTGGGCAAGTCACTTCTATTTGCCTCAAGTTCCTCAATTGTAAAATGGAGATAAAAATAACAGCCACCTCCCAAGGTTGTTTTAAGGCTCAAGTGAGATAATATTTGTAAAGCACTTAGCACAATCCCTGAAACATAGTAGGCACTTAATAAATTCTTGTTTCCTTCCTTGCTTGTTTATTTTATTTTGTTTATTTGTACATAATTGTTTGCATGTTGTGACCCCCCCCCCCATTAGACTGTGAGCTTCTTGAAAGCAGGAATGTTTGCCTTTCTTTGTATCTCCATTACATAGCACAATGCCTGGAACATGGTAGGCGCTTAATAAATGCTTGTTGACTTCACTTAGGGTTTGACTATCGAAATAGAGAACTGTAGGATAGCAAGGTCAAGTGAAGATTTTTTTAAGGCTGGGGGAGAATTGGGCATGCTTGTAGGAAGCAGGGAAGGAGCCGATAGAAAAGGAGAGAGTAAAAATGAGGGCAAAACATGGTAAAGGACTGTAGGGTTGGAACACTAGATAAGCTGTTAGACTTGGTTGATGTGGTGGTTAATTTTGCTGGATGATATTTTTTATCCTTTTTTTCTTTGTTCTAAGAGATGACTCTTTTGGGGATGGGAGAACTGTATTGGGAAATGAAGGTAATGTAAAAATAAAAGGTAAAATGAAGGTAAAAACAATAACATGTTTGATTTTTATTTCAGTTGGAAACCAGAAGGGATGACTGTGGAGTGAGCTGTGGGAAGAGATGTGAGGGGTGGATTCAAGGGTATAAGTAGAAGATTTTACTTTGGTGAAAAGATGCTTTATTGTCAGAGACTGAAGCACAGGGGGTAAGGATGGGGAATGATGTCAAGGGGTTTTGAGATGTAAAATAGAAGAAAGGAGCAAGCACCTGGTGAATGGCATCAATTTTCTCAATAATGTATGAGGTACAAGGTCGTCTGCTGAGAAAGGAGGAGGGAATATTGTGGGAGGCTTAAAAAGAATAAAAAAAAATGGGAACAGTCTCTGTAGGGAGTCCATGGAGAATCACTTAAGGAAGGATAAAATGATGCCTTGATTCAGCGAGGACACAGTTGAGATTAGATAACAAAAAGATTGAGTGGACTCAGGATGGTTGTGTGACTGCTCCACATTCAGCCTGTAAGAGTGGAAAAAGCAGATAGTGGGAGTAATTCTGGGATGATGTTTGGCAAAGCCAGAGTGATGAAAGAGGTCAAGAGTTTTGAACATGGAAGACAGTATACAGTTGAACTTGTTAAATATGGGTTCAAGATTGGGATAGCCAAAATAGGAGTTATGGCCAGGGGAAGCACTGAGGGATGGAGAGATTAGAAATCACAGTTTGGACAAAGAATAGTTTAGAAGAGTGAGTCACAGAGAAAAATGGAAGGAAAGAAGTTTAAGGTCAGACAGGATAATTTTAGAGTACTTGAGCATAGAAGGAAACACTTATGGGGGATAATTGGATAAGAATATGACCATCCATGTGCAACTGAACTGAACATGCAGGTCATGGGAGTTGAGGAGGTTAATAAACTGGGAGATTAAGGTATTTGAAAGTGTACTGGAGTCTTCAAATGGGTGGAGAAAAGGATGGGTGGAGAGGGAGAGGATGACTGTGAACAGGTACTGAACTCCTTGAGAAGGGGTTAGGAGAAGGGAATGAGTGTGTGTATAGTGCCTACTATGTGCGGGCACTATGTGCTTAGTGTGTTTTTGGTTTTTTACAAATATTATCTCATTTGATCTTCAAACCCTTCGAGGTAGGTGCTGTTATTATTCTCATTTTACAGTGGAGGGAACTGAGGCAAGCAGAGATTAAGTGATTTGTCCAGAATTACACAGCTAATAAGTGTCTGAGGTTGGATTTGAACTTAGGTCTTCCTGACTCTAGACCTAGCACTCTAGCCACTTTGCTACCTAGCTGCCTGGGAGAATCCACTAAATGCTAGAGTCCTTCTTTCAGTTCTTTTAATATCTCAAAAATGCCAATTCAGTTGTCAGACTATCCATCTCCTGTCTGTCATCCTCCTGGTGTAGACATGACTCTGAGCTCCATAAATCTATGCTAATGAAGTACCGATGACTTGAGGGTTGGTAAATAACTGCCACTAAGATCTGGATATGATGATGTATCTCAGTGGAGCAATTTCAAAGAAGAATAGATTGCTCAATGATAATGGCAGTGAAAAGGTCTGGAAGTGGCAATGGGGAGCAAGAAGTATGCCTGCTCCTCCTTCTGGCCCTGTGTTTCAAAGACTATGAGAGAAGGTGCTCCCAGATCAGTACCTGAAAAAGAAAGGTCAGAGGTGCCGTATTTTCTTAGGAGGAGCTAGGAGCCAAGTCTCCATGAGTCGAAAAGATGGAAAGTGCAGGAGGAAAAGATCAACTCTAGAATAAAGGGAAACTGATGAACAATAGACTAGGCATGCTAGAGGATAAAGAGGAAGGGAAGGGTAGCACTGGATGGAGACTTGGGAATGACAGGGCCGAGTTGGGATGGGAATAGGAACAAGGAGTGGTGCCAAGGAAGGGAGGACATTTTTCACGTAGGCATCTACTAGTTGTGTATCATTGGGATTAAGAAAATCCAAAGTGTGAGTTTACTAGACTTCCCCAGGGGAAATACACAACACAGAAGGTGCCAAATGATAATTCATAGGAAAAGCCACCTGCACATCTGATCCCGGCCCGTGATTTGGTCATGAAGGAGTCTTAGTGTATGTGAGCTCTCTCTATCTCTGTCTCTCTTTCTCTCTCTGACTCTCTCCTCCTCCTCCTTCTTCCTCTTCTTCCATCCTATCTCTCTATCCCTCCCACCCACCCTTTCTTTCTTCCTCTCTCTCACTTTCTCTCTCTTCCTTACCCTCTCTGATCCAAATACCTTCTAGTTCTTCTCTTCTGTATGTTTATGAACCCCTTTGAAAAGAAATGAGAAGTCTTGATCCATGGCATCCTCAGTATCCTAAGGATTGCCTTCTCCCTCTACCCTACCATCACCACTTACCTCTGTGTGTGTGTGTGTCTCTGTCTCTCTGTATGTCTTTCTGTCTCTGTCCCAGTCTTTCTGTCTTTCTGTATCTGTCTGTCTGTCTCCCTCTCTCCCTCCCTATCTCTATCTTTGTGTTTTAAGAAATTGCGCACAAAGAAATGAAGGTGTGTTGGAATTTAGTATTTGAGAACGAATTTTTTTTCTTTGTTGTTAAAATAAAAAACAATTAAAAATGTGTAATATCCCAGGTAAAGTGTATGTATGTGTGTATATGTGTGCATATATGTCTGTGTGTGTGTGTATGCCAAATACATGTTATAATCAAGATGAGGGGAGTATATTTATGAAGATCTTTGGGCAGTAGGTAATTAGATACTCCAACTGGTTTGGATATCTACTTGCTTTGTGTGATGGACACAAGAAATGAGGGATAGATTAGCTTCTTGTTTCTTTATTCAAACTGTCTTATTATCTAATTAAAATATCTGCCTTTGGAATCATAAAAGCATATGCCTTCTAGTTTTTTTCTTCCACGTATGTATGTACCCTTTTGAAAAGAAATAAGAACTCTTAAGCCATGGGATTCTCAGTATCTCCATTTCTTTATTTCATTTCTGTGAGTCTCAGGCACTGGGAATTCTGGACAGCAAGGGAGGGCTTTAAATGAGAAACAATTAGTTTGGCTTCATCCTGTGTTGGTGTTTTGTCTTTACAGGGTACCCAGAAAATATGCCTCCCCTACAGTCCCACAAAGACACTCTCAGTGAAGTCCATTTTAAGGTGAGTGCTCCCAAGTGAAGTTTTCAGTTTTTCTTTATATTGTCTTTCTTATCCAGTAGTAATTATTTTACTAGTTTCTTATTCATTTTTTAAAAGTAAAAATGCTGTATTTGTTGATATATTTCCATCCTTGTATTTTCTCAGGTACTACTACCAGTATATTGCTCAGTTTGGAGTCTGGAGAGGCCTAGTTTTCAATGCTGCTTCCCATACTTAACTAGTTATGTGATATCCCCTTTAAACTATAGTTTCCTCATGAGAAAAATAGAAATTCTAATAGTAATAACAATAATAATAATAGCCAACATTTACATAGTGTTTTAAGGTTTCCAAAACATATGTGTATATGTTAACTCATTTGATCCCCACAACCATCTGGTGGGGTAGGTATTGTTTTTATGCCCATTGTATAAATTAAGAAACCGAAGCATAGAGAGTGACTTGCCCATGGTCACACAGGTATTAAGTGTCTAAGACAGAATTTGAACTCAGGTCTTCCTGATTCCAACTCCTACACTCTATCTACTTTATCTACCTACTTAATAGTACTTCCTTCCCAGGGTGGCTGTGAAATCAAATGAGAGAATGTTTGTTTTTAAAACATTTTGTAAACCTTCCAGGTCTACATAAAAGTCAACTAAATAGAATAATAAAATTCCAGGGTTAGAAGGAGCCTTAGAGGTCATCGTTGTCATTGTTGTTGTTCAGTTGTTTTAGCCATGTCCAGCTCTTCATAGAACCCCATTTGGGGTTTTCTTGGCAAAGGTACGGGAGTGGTTTGCCATTTCCTTCTCCAGCTCATTTTATAGGTGGCAAACAGGAGTTACGTGGTTTGCTCAGAGTCACACAGCTAGTAAATGTCTGAGGCCAGATTTGAACTCAGGGAGATGAGTCTTCCTGACTCCAAGCCCAGTACTATCCACTGCACTGCCTAGCTGCCCTTAGCGGTCATCAGATTCAGCCTTTCTCAAAACATAAACGCCTTCTATCATATACATTACAAGAGGTCATCAAGCCACCAGTCAAGTCCAGTGAAGGTGATTTCTCTACTTATTAAGGAATTACACTCATTTTTCTTCTAATTCTAATGGATAGAAAGTTTTACCATTATATTGAGCTAAAGATTGCTTCCTATTATTCTTAGTTCTCCCTTTATAGAACTAAACAGGATTCGTCTAATCTTTCTTCCACATGATATCATGTCAAATGTTTGAATATAGTTTTCATTCCAGGCCTCTCCTTTCTGGTCTTCCCTTTTCCAGGATAAACATCCTTACTATCCTTGCATGCCTAATTTCAAGTCTGTAGTGTATACCATCTTAGTAGCCTTCTTCTGCATGAACTACAGCTTACTGGCGTCCTATTTAAAATGTGGCGTCCAGAACCAAACATAATATTCACTATAGTCCAACTTGCACAGAGGACAGCAGGACTATTGCTTTCCTTGTTCTGGAAACCAGAATTCTATTAATGGAACCTAAAATAGTTCATTAACCTTTTTTGGCCACCATATCATATTCTTAATTCATTAAACTTGTAGTCAGATAAAGGTCTCAAATCTTGCTTCCAATCTCTTCACTCTGCAATCCATCCTCTCATAGAGCTGTCAAGTTGATATTCCTAAAACAAAGAGCTGACCGTGACACTTCCCTGTTGAAAAATCTTGAGTGAAAGCCAATTGCCCATAGAATGAAATACAAAGATACTACGTCTTGCATTTAAAGCTCTCTACGAACTGACTCTAGCCTACCTTTCCAGACCTTCTCACTTTACATAGTCTTTATTCACTTGAAAGTGGCCTGGTAGGTGATATTCACCATCTGTGATATTTCACTACAACCTAACTTCTTTCTTTCCCTTGGCTTTGTGCCTTTGCACAGATGGCCACTCGTGTTTATAGTATACTCCATCCTTGTAAAATTCTTGTTTCTTTCAAAGTGAAACTCAAGTGTCATCTCCTATAGGAAGTCTTTCCCACATCCCTCCAGTTCTAATGCTCTCTCCGTGTTGAAGCAACTTTTTATATACTTAGAATTTGCTTATCTGTGTACATATTTATTTCTCTTTAAGGACAAGTACTGTTTTATTTTTACTTTTGCATCCCCAGTGGTCAGTATAGTGTTCTGCACAGAGTAGATACTTTATTGAGATAGGGCTTTTTAAAAAATTGAATTGAATTGAAATGTTTACAGTTACTTGTACTAATTTATTTTACATTAGCTATGAACCTTCCTAATTTTAGATGCGCAATTCAGTTTTTGGGAGAGAGCTAGGAAGACATAGCACTTAGCAGAGTGCGTGACACATAGCAAGCACCTCATAAATACTTGCTCATTGACTGATTGGACGTTATGGCTTCAGTTGTCACATACTGGTGATTCTATGAGATTTGAAAGAATTTAGATTAAAGACAGCTAAGAAACTATGAAATAAATCTCTAGCATTCTCTTTAACATTCATCCTAGGGAAGGATAAAGGAGGAAAAAAGAAAAGTACTAATATGCAAGGTGCTCAGAACTAAGGCCGTTCTTGCAATCCATTTGGATTCTTTACTGCAACAATTTTTTCATGTGGTCTTGATTATGTAGGTTATAGAAGATCAGAGTGCTAGTTCTGTCTTTACCATTTCCGAACTGTGTAACCCCAGACTAATCACTCCCTGTCTCTGAGCCCCAGTTTCTGCCTTCTAACAGCAGAGATAGTCTTAAGACTTGTGTCCTGTTGAACTCATGTCCCACGATCCTTGCTGCTGCTTGCCAGAGGCTGGGGCAGTTAACCAAGTAGAAGAGGTGAGTTGTTGCCTCTGGCCTTACTAAGTCCAACTAGGGGTTATTAGCATCAAAGCTAGTTCTTCCTGTAGGCTCCATTGTTCAGCAGGACCAGCACTGTGTTTGCTTTCTTCTCCCCTAAACCATAAAGAAGCCTTTCCTCCCCTACAATGTAGATTTCTGGTTGGGGAGGAGGCTTTTGAATCAACCCAGACCTTGCTACCTTCCTCTCAGGGGCTAGGAGCAGAGGCAGGATTATTAGTCAGGTGGAGAATGTGCTTGAGATTTTTTAAATGGATTTCACTTACCCATATATTTTCAATGGATGACTCCAGAAATTCATGTCACAGAAGACAGATATACTGAATACTTACTTAGTGCTTGGCATGAAACAGGAGGAGGCTAGAAAGTGGGAAGGATGGTTGGTTCTCCCATAGAATCCAAAGGAACTCTTTATGGATCAGGTTGTCAGAGGTTACAGGTATGCCCACACATTTACTAGACAATGCAATATGTTATTGCAGTCAGTTCAGTTCAGAAGATACTTATTAGGGGCATCTAGGTGGCAGCATCTGCCCTGGAATCAGGAAGAACTGAGTTCAAATGCAGCCTCAGACACATAACACATACTAACTGCGTGACTTTGGGCAAGTCATTTAACCCCAGTTGCCTCACCCAAAAAAAAAAATAGCATGCTTCGATCCTCATTGACTCCATCAGTTATTTCTCTGGATGTGGGTAGCATTTTTCATCATGAGTTCTTTGAAATTGTCTTGGATCATTGTATTGCTGAGAAGAGCTTTATTACTGTGTACAATGTTTTCTGGTTCTACTCACTTCATTTTACACAAACATCAGTTTGTGTAAGTCTTTCCAGGTTTTTCTGAAATCATCCTGCTCATCATTTCTTATAGCACAATAGTACTCCTTCACAATCATATACCACAGCTTATTCAGCCATTCGCCAATCGATGGGCATCCCCTCAATTTCTAATTCTTTGGCACCACAAAAAGCTGCTATAAATAATTTTGTACATGTAGGTCCTTTTCATTTTTTTTTTTAAAACCCTCTTTGGGGGCAACTAGGTGGCACAGTGGATAGAGCACCGGCCCTGAAGGCAAGAGGACCTGAGTCAAATCCAGCCTCAGACCAAACACTTGACATTTACTAACTGTGTGACCCTGGGCAAGTCACTTAACCCCAATTACCTAAAAACAAAACAAAACCAAACAAACCTCTTTGGGATGTAGACCTAGTTGGGCTATTGGCGTGCATGGTTTTGGGCATAGTTCCAAATTGCTTTCCAAAATGGTTGGATCAGTTCACAACTCCACCAACAGTGCATTAGTGTCCCAATTTCCCCACATCCCCTCTAACGCGTATTATTTTCCTTTTCTGTCATATTAGCCAATCTGATGTGTGTGAGGTAGCCAAAAAGTAATTATTGATAGTCCACTTAGATACCTACACTTCAGGGCAAGCCCCTACCTCTCAAGGAAGCCATGGCACTTTGGGGCATCTCTAATTCTTAGAAAATGTTTTCCTTACATCAGATATAAACCTGATTCTCTAACATTCACCCATGGCTTTACCCTCAGAGGTCAAATTCTTTTCCACATAATAGTTGTCAGATCTTCACTAAGTTTTCTTTTCTGTAAACCAACTGTTCCCAATTCATTTGGTCAGTCCTTGTGTGTCCCCTCCCCACTGTGCAGTTCCTTGCATGTAATAGTTGCTTACTAAATGTTTATCGAATTGAATGCTGGTTGCTGTTTTCTGGACATGCTCTACCTTGTTCTTACTGCCAGAACTCAACACAGTACTCCAGAAGTGGACTAACCAGGGAAAAGACCACAGATGGGATTGTTATCACTCTTGGGCTAAATTCAATCTCCATTTTAATGTAACCTTAGGTAACATAAGCTTTTGTGGCTGTCCTATCACACTCTGCACATACTGAGTTTTTAAATCCCCAGTTCTTTTTATCATATAGATTGAATTTATATTAGGACAAGAAATTATTTTCATCCAAGTGTCAGAATTTACATTTATCACTTCTAGATTGTATCTTAACAAATCTAGCCCATTACTGTGGCCTGTTGAGGTGTTTTTTGGACTTGGACTTTTCAGCTATTTCTAGACCATCCTTCTAATGCTGAAATATTCTGATAAATAGTATATTTTGTCTTGTGTTAGACTATTTTATTCCTTCCCTTGTCTCCTTAAATACAGCATTCTCAAATGAACCTTTAACCACTACTTAAAGAATTTTAGTATATAGTTAACAGTCCACTTACAGATGAATGTATGTAGTTTTTGAATTGAAAATCTACAACTAAATTGAAGTATGGCTAGAGAGAATTCTTGTAAAATATATATTCCTGAATTATATAGAATCAAGTAAAATGAGGGAACAGGGCAACAAGATGACCCAGTGGATAGAGTGCTGGGTTTGGAGTCAGGAAGACTCATCTTCTTGAGTTCAAATGTGTCCTCAAGACACTTACTACCTGTGTCACCCTGGACAAGTCACTTAATCCTTTTTGCCTCAGTTTCCTCATCTGTAAAATGAGTTGGAGAAGGAAATGGCAACCATTCCAGTATCTTTGCCAAGAAAACCCCAAATGGGGTCGTGAAGAGTCAGACACAGCTGACATGACTAAACAGCAAGAATGAGAAAAAGATTATACTTTTGTTAATTTAAAACTTTGAATGAAAGGAAATTTTCAATATAAATGCCAGTACTACATTTCAGGCCCTGGTATTTATTTTAGATTTAGAAGAAACCATAGAGATCACCTAGTCCAGAATCTTCATTTTATAAATGAGGAAATAATCTCACAGAGATTATGTTAAAAGGACTGTTTAAGACAGCCTTGCTTTAAGCAGTCTTTTGGACTAGGAGTTGCTGGAGATAATGGTTGAAGATCTTAATTTCAATTAACTTGGCTACTGGTTGCCTATACTACCCAGTCACTGTTTTACCAAATGAGGCTAATCTCAGGCTAATGGCAACTGCCTGCAGCTCCAGATGTTCACAGAATTAATTATTCCTTGTCTCCCTCCATTTTATGCATCTTTGTACCATAAATGTAATAGCAGTCATAACAAACAAATAAAATATGGAATTGTAACCCAAGTAAAACTATATATTCTAAACTTCATTATTATTTATTAGAAGTAATATAAACTTTCACAGAAAATACTTACAGTTTATTTATTCTTTGTCCTCTTCTGAGCTTTGCCATCTGGTTACAAAGTTTTGTTGCCATTTTTTTTAAGCAGACATAGTCAACGCATAGGCTGTATAGCCTTCTAATTCTTCTATCCTGTGTACTTCGTGCATCTTTCCATAATTCTTCATTTTTTCACATCATTTTTTATGGCACAAAAATACTCCATTTTATTGGTCTACAACAATTTCTTCAGCCATTCCCTAATTGTTGGTTATTTCCAGTTTTTCTACTCTTAAAAGTAAAGCAGCTATTAATATTTTTGTATACAAAAAGTCCCCTTTTCATTTTAATAACATATTTAAGATATAGTTCCCGCATTAGGATTACTGGGTCAAAAGTTATGATAAGTTTTGCAAGTCTTACAGTATATTGTCAATTTACTCTCCAAAAAAAAAAACCCCATCTGTCCCACCAACACTGCAATATAGTACTCATTTCTCCACAGCACTTATAGCATTTAATTGTATTGTTTCTGGCTATTTTTATCATTTTATAGTTATACTATCAAATTGGTTTCTTAAATTTTATTTTATCAGCATATCTTTGCACCCTCTATTTTAACATAATACTATTAGGAAAACATTGAGGAAGAGATGATGTGATTTAAAGTATTACAGCTTTTTGCCAGATATTCCAGTTCCTGTACAAACTACTTATTTTCTTAAGGCTAATTCATCTGAGGAAGAGTGAATTGCTGCTGTTGCTTAAAGTTCTGTCACATTGCATTGAAATTCATTCTTTCCATTTTATTTCAGTGCCATGAATCTGGACAAGTTTGAAAAAGGCCCCAGGGAAATTTTTCATCCTGAGATCCAGAAGGTAAAAGAAAACTTTACATTTTTTAGAACTGGTATATGAAATATATGGAGCATATTTGTTTAAAAGGAACATTGTTGGTTTGAGAATAATCCTTTTTCCTTAACTGAAAAATAATGTTGAATTACATGAGAGAAATGAGATTAATTCATTAATTAAATCTTTATTGCTTCTGCTAAAGTCTTACTCTGATGCCTTTTTGGAGTATAGAGGTGAACTTCTCAATCTCAGGAGAAGGACAAGAAATGATCAGAGATTCAAAAATGAGTCCTGGGTAGAGAAGGCAATTGTCACTTGCTTACAGGCTAAAACCACAAAAGAAGACTTATCTGGGAATGGGGATTAAAGGTACAAATATTCTGACACTAGGGGGCAAATCTAGAGCTAAGAACTGGAGGCGAGGAATTCTGGAAGAACTGAGACATCTATAGCCTTGCCAGTCTACGTCCGTTGACAAGAACTAATCTAACTTCTAGCCAAGACAGGACTGAATTTGTTGAATCAGAAGATAATATTATTTTAAAGTAGGGATGCAAATGAAAGTGATATCAAAACAAATGACAACTTTTTTTTAAAATAGGGGATTATAAAGGTAAAAAAGGATGATGTAAGAAAAAAAAAAAGGCCTACTTTCTTGACGTTGGACCTGGCAAATAAACCTTTGTAAATCTCTCCTTTGATTTATTACTTTAACCTTCTACAGTATGTTTCCTTATAGTACTAGTAATAACGCAAAACACCAAAAACAAACAATAATTCAGAACATCTAAAAGAAGGGTTATACACTCTTTTTAGGGAGCAAAACAAGGTAGAAGGTAAAGACTTGTATTATCTCCAATGGGCCATGTGGGTGTTTAAGACATAGAAAGGAGAGACGGTGGCAGCTAGAAACCTGAAGGAGATATCAGTGAACTATGACCTAGAACTTTCAGATAAAAGAGTTATGCCATAATGATGATAGGCCTTATGACATCATCACTGAGCATACCAGAAAACAAGCACAGCATATTTCTTTTGCAGCTTCAAGGTTTATTCATTTTTTTTTTAAAGTACCCCTACAACTTACATACATAACCTAGTAAGGTTGCCAACTGTGTTCCTTCTCAAAGATAGAACATGGTAGATCTCATTTGAAACTCATCAGAAATTTCCATACTTTTTAAAAAAATTCTTGTCAAAATAGTTAAAACTTAATCCACTTTAAACAGCACTACATTTAAAGTTTATCCTTTGTCACTTTACAAATTCCAGTTACAAATGCAAAAAAAAAATCTTTCCTTTCTAATTAGTCTTTATGTTTTCCCTCTTTCTGATCTTATACTTTGCTTCCAAGAAAGATACTTGGCTATTTTCAGCCATCTCCACTTTAGTTTCAACTCTTGTCAGTCCTTTCCTTTCCTTGTCATATTAACTTAGCCCTCAGCTACAGGTATGGGCACTGCAGGGCAAGGTATTATTGATGAGCTGCTCTCTTTTCTACCCTGTTTCTGAGGATAGTTCTTCCAGTTAATTTCTGATCTACACAATTATCTTTACCTTTTATTCTCCTTTCCAAGAAGAAAGACACAAGTAATACTTCTGTACAACTCAGAGGGAGCATCCATCTTGTGTCAGCTGATTGTAGTCTGAGGCTTCTTAACCTTTCTTGTCATGGACCCCTCTGGCAATCTGGTGACCCTTTCTCAAAATCATGTTTTTTAAATAATTGAAAGAAATACCGAATTTCAGTTAGAAGTTAATGAAAATAAAGGTGCGGTTGTTTTTTTTTAACCAAGTTCACAGACCCCCTCACCAACATCTGTCCATGGATGGTCCATGGACTCCAGGTGAAGAACTGCTGTTCTAGTGAAAGGAGGTTTCTGCCTATAATGGCTTTTGGTCTTCTTTTTTAAGAATCTTTACCTAACTTATCTGTTCTTGGTTGTTGTTGCTTTTTAATTTAAAAATATTTAGACTTTAATATCATTATTATTAATAACTGATGAAATAATACGATCATTATCTGCATCAAGTGTTTAAATTAATCTCAAACCCTTCTTTCCTTTTAGCAGCTGGCTTCAAATACAGGGGGAAGTATATTAGAAAGTCACCATGTCAAAAACTGAATAGAAAATAAAATTCACTAAAAGGTCTGTCCTTGTCTTTTATATCTAGTTCTGGGCACCTTTTTATGAAGGACCTTGATAAGCTAGAGTGCATCCAAAGGACACTAGGGAGGAGCCTGGAAGCAATGAAGATCACAAAAGATCACTTGAAGGATCTGTAAATATTTAGCTGTCAAGAGAAGACTTAAGGAGAAAGATGATTATTAGCTTTAGGTATTTAGAAAAGGGATGCCATAGGACAGAGAAATTAGATTAGACTTGTTCTGTTGCAACCAAGGTAAGGAACTAGGAATGATGAGGTGGGGGGGAGGGGAATTACAAAGAACCAAATTTGGACTTAATCTGAGGAAAAACTGAGGCAGTGACAAGGCAAGAAGGAAATAAAATAAAGCAGAAGAGATGAAAAGTGGCAGGAAATTGGATGTCTAGGTAAGACTTCAGATTTTAGCTAAGGATAGCTTCTCTTTACTTTAGGGTTTTAGAGGAATTTGCTAATTACAGATCAAAGCCAGCTCAGTGAGGTAGTGTCAGTTTAGGGAAAAAAGACTAGTAAAGTCCCAGAATGGGGGTAGTCAATCTGTTTACATAGAGAGGGATATAGATTTTATAGACACACGCACAAGAGTGTGGGGAGGGAGGGACAGACAGACAGACTGCTCAGGGACTATCAGTAATTGTGCCCCTAGCAGGGCAGACAGGCAAAGCCCAGCAGCAGCTTGTGGGAATTAGCCACAGGAGCTGTAGATATAAATGAGGGGGCAAGGAGAAACTGACATCAATTTGAAGACAGCATGTCCTATGTGTGGTTTTGCCAGAGACAAGTCATAGCAATTTGGTGACATATTGAAAATGAAATTGTACATGTAGTCAGAGTTGCTGAGTTAGAATTCTTAACTCTGCAACTTATAACCTGTGTGACCTTGAACAAATCACCTAATCTCTTTAACCCTCAGTTTCCTCATCTGTAAAATGAGGTAATTATTCTAGAGGAGCCCTAAGAGCTCCTCCAGGTCTAGGATATTACTATGATCCTATGAAATAGTCTAAGTACAAAATACAGGCTAGCAGACACTAGGCTAGAGGAATTCCTTATTTTCCAGGTTTTCAGATAGAATGAAGTATTATTTGAAAAGATGAAAGAACTCCTTCGAAAGAAAACAAAAGAAGGAAATAGGATCTCAAAAGGCATATCCTAGCCTTTGTGAGGAGTATAAGGAACAACTTCTTAACAATTGAAACTGTCCCTAAATGGAAAGGGCTTCCTTGGAAGGAAGTGAGTTCTCAATTACTAAAGATATTCAAGTATAGAGTAGGTAAATATTTTTAGAGATGTTGTAGTAGGGATTCATGTTAAGGTAAAGATGAAACTTGGTGACTCTAAGATCCCTTCTGTCAGGGTCTCACAGTATCCTCTGTGTCCAAGACTTAAGACTTGATACACAGTATGTATTAAGCTGTAGTTAACTTTCAGATAAACAAGCCTCCTTCCTCTTAAGCCCTTGTTTTGGAAAACTTCCCTGCATAATGGAGTATTTTATCTTAGGAATGCATTCCAAGATGAATGACCAATATAAAGAACCTTGGACTTAGAGTTCAAAGACCTATGTTTGAGTCTCAGTTCTGGTACTTATTAGCTCTGTCGTCTTGGACACGTCTGATCCTCAACATCATTCATAAAATGAGCGTAATAATTTTTGTATTAACCATCTCGCAGGATTATTGTAAAAAAAAGTGCTTTGTACATCTTTCGTTGTTATTGTTCAGTCATTTCAGTCCTGTCCAATTCTTTGTGACTCCATTTGGGGTTTTCTTGGCAAAGATACTGGAGTAGTTTGCCATTTCCTTCTCCAGCTCATATTAAAGATAAGGAACTGAGGCAAACAGTGACTTGCCCAGAGTCACTAGTAAGTGTCTGAGGCTGGATTTGAACTCAGGAAGATGAAGCTTCCTGACTTTAGGCCCAGAGCTCTATCCACTGTGCCACCTAGCTGCCCCTTGTAAATCTTACAGTTCTGTATAAAAGTGAGTTATTAGTAACAACAATAATAATGAATTGTAGACAGGTCTTTATTTGTAAAACTGGAGCTTTTCTCCCCTTTCAGAAAGTCAAAGTGGGGACAAAAATTAGCAAGTACAGTCACTTGATTTAAAATCGGTCCATAACAACCATAAGGATGCTGCTTACTAAGTGTAACTCTCTCATCCACTTACTTTCATTTTCATTATTTCTTGTTAACTTCTTCAGGTCTGTGGTGCCTTTTACCTTCTGGAAAAACTTTCATTCTCTTATTTTTCCCTACCTTTTGTATTGGAGGCATGTAATCCCCATTGTATGTGTTCCCAATTGTTTCTGTGTTATCTACTTAGGGTGTCTCTAGGTGAAGGACTCAGCAAAAGATTTTTAAAAGAAGCTCTTTTATAACCTAGGCATTGTATGTTAAATAGTTAACCTATCACGTATATGAGACAAACAAATAGTTTTCTTGTGCAATAATCACAGTATTATTTGATGGCTTGGCTTGGATACTCCCTCCACTGGCGCACATGGCAACCTGCCACCACCTTCTTGTAGCATGAAGTTTTTGTTGATGCCTTTCTTTTTTTTTAAAAAATATTTATTTATTTATTTAGTTTTTGTTGATGCCTTTCTGTTCCTCCGTTAAGACTCCCCCAAACTGCTGGTCCACTTCTCTGTTTCCCTTAAGCTTTACTGTAACATGGCTGAGTGGCTAATGTGAAAAGCTAGATTGATGATATATCTACTTTAATCTTCACCTCTTTTCCGGAGTATTGTTGCTATGGGTTGTCTTTGGTTGTTTCTGGGTTTGAGACTGTTCCATATGGTTGTTGAGCCAGAACTCTAAACACCAGATTTGTGAGTTGCTCTTTAATTAATAAGATGTTTACTACTTAATATCTTGATCACAATAGAGCCATCTATTCATTTTTAGTGAATGCTGGAAAATACAGTCTTTCTGCTCGAGACAGAAATATCAAGTCATGTTCAAGGTTAGTGAGCCTTGGTAGTCCCATTTGCCTCTTAATTATTAGCCTGGTATAGTGGAAGGATAATTGGAATTAGAGTTGGAAGGTCTCTTATGAGACCCAGAATTGTGCATGAAAAGAGCCTTGGATTTGGGGTCAGAAGAGTGGGGTTTGAATTGTATCCCTGGCATTGACTGGCTGTGTTGACAATGGACAAGTGTCTTCATTTCCCTGAATCTCAGTTTCCTCATCTGTAAAATGAGGGGATTGGATTAGATGACCATTAAAGTCTTCCCTACTTTGGATCTATAAGCCTCACTCTACTATTTACCAGCTGTGCCACCCTGAGAAACCGACCCCCTCTCTGAGCTCAAATTTCCTACTGTTCGGACCCGATAACAATACTTCTTTTTTTGTCCCTGATGCTTACTTTGTGTTGTCTCCATTCTCAGTTTGTAATCTGCTTCTTGTGGTCTCAAGATACAGAACCTGTGTGGTAAAAATCATTTTAAATGCTTTTCAGATTTCTTTTTAAGAAAAAAACTAGTTTTATCTGAATCTGAGATGGTGTTAGGAGATACTGGCAAAGTGATCATGTCTTTTTAGAGGTTATGATAACAAAGGAAGGGAGAACTAGGGCATAGTCAGACAGGTACCTTAGATTGTAATAAAGTGGATTCCAAAATATCAAAAGAAAAAAATTGGTGGAACTGCGTGGCTGGAAACCTTAAAAGGGTTACCTCGAAAAATGAGTGGTTATAATTTTTTTAATACAATCACAGAATTAGAAGGGACCTGAGAGGTCATTTAGTCCATAATTTCTGACCCACACTGATTCTTCTCCCCATCCTGATCTTCCATAATATGTGTCATTTATTTTGACAGTTATATTCTTTACTTCAATCCAGTTAGCACTTAGTAAGTATCTGTTATGTCTAAGGGACTGTACTGGGAGGTGGGGTTACAAAAACGAAACAAAAAACAGTCTGGCCTCAAGAAGCTAATACTCTCCTAGAAGGATACATCATTGAACACCTAAGTATACACATGATCATTTGAAAAGGAAAAAAGAGTGTTTTGACAACTAAGGGGATCATAGATCTAGAGTTGGATGGTACCTCACAGATCAGATGATCCAGCCCTATCATTGAAGGAGGTTAGGTGACTTACCCAAGGCTACAGAGGAAGTTAGCATCAGAGACAGAACTTGAACCCAGCTTCTCCAGCTCTAGAACCATTGGGTGTTTTTTCCATTGATCAAAGGAGACTTCATGTAGGAAATGCCACATGAGCTGAGCTGTAAAGGAAGTTAGGGATTTCAGGAGGCAGAGGTCAGAGGGGAGGTTTCCAGGTATGAGGGATAACCTGTCCAAAGGCATGCAGATGGGAGATGGTGTGCCAGGGCGGTGTTTGGCTCTGATTGTTCCACGTTCCATTTTTGTTTCTACAAGGACTAGATCATATTGTCACAGTTTATGCCAGTGAAGAAGCGAAGTCATGTAAAGAAACTTAAGGTACACAGAAAACTCCCTGAGGAACTCAAATTTACAAAGCACATGTACAAAAGATAGTCGGGCATTTGACTACATATGTTCACAAAAAGCTGTCATGGACCTGTCGGTAAGGCCAGTAAAAAGGAAGGCTCTGAAAGCCCAGAATAAATTGGGGTTTGTGGGAAGAGATGCCAAAAGATGCCAGAAAGCTTTGTTTGTTTTTAAGCTGTCTTTGGAGGCAGGTGATGAGCAAGGAAGAGATGAATACGCTGGTTGAGGAAGATGATATGATGTTAATCAGTGATACATGAGAAAGCAGATCTACATAACTTTTACTTTATTTTCATCATCTTCATCAAGATCAGCGATCATCAGAATGAGAAAGGCAGAAATATTAAGAGGACAATTAGAATAAAGGAGAAGAAAGTAAGAGATCAACAGGCCACTTTTTAGAAATTCATCTTTCCAGATGTGGATAAATTCTATTCCCGGGGCATCGCACTTGGACTTGCTGCTACCAAACTATCGTGCATGCTTCTACTTGTCATTCCACTAGCGTTGGCCTTCGGTGGTCCACCTTTTGTGCCCTGACATTGTGAGGTATATTCTCAGTGTTCATTTAAAACAGAACTTTTTTTTTTACCCGCCTTCATTAACTTTCCCAACCTCCTCCCCACGCCTATAGCCAACTCTCAGGCATTTGGTCATCTACTCAGGATAATCCCAGAACTCCGTTGTGATTTTAACACTCTCCAGTTTTACATACTGGATAAAATAGTTTTAGTTTTACATGTTCCTTAATAAGAATTTCTTCTTAAATATGAGAGATCAGCAACGTAATGTTTTTAGTCTGTGGGTATTCCACAAAGTTACTGATTTTAAAAGATGTTGAACAGGAGAGGGCTAAAGAAGAAAGTCCTACTAATGTATTTTTAAGGCTGTATTAATACAGGTGTCCTGATTTAACGTTCTCTACCCTGGTCAAGCTACTCTAGAGCATTGTTTTTGATCTCAGCACATTTTAAGAGGGAATTTGAGAAAGTAGAGTGAATTCAGAACAAGGTAACTAGGATGTTGAGAAATATGGAAGAGAGTTCAGGAGATCTGGAGAGGTTCCCTCAAAGTACTGAGAAATTTGAAGAAAATATTTTTTTGTTAAAGAGAATCTATTTTTATATTTACAGGCTAGAAAAGGATGCTAATTCTCCAACTTACTCCGTTCTGTCAACCACTTCTTGAAATTTAAGTGCCAGCCACACCACAGAAACAAATTAACCCCTGAAGTGCTAGAACTACAAAACAAAATTCAGGAAGTGATAGCTTTATAGCACCCTATCTGACTCAGGGGCTGAACATGCAAATTTGACCACCTTATCTTACAAATAAAAATCACGTTCCTGGACTATACTCACATTGTGACCATGAAGGCAAAGCTGTCATTACAGGTCCTGAATTACGGAGTAGTCATTATTAGAACTAGATTAAAAGCTTTTTGGGTGATAGGTGCTCCCTCACCAGCCCAAGAGTAAACCTGTGTGTAAAATAGCTGTGCCCAGACTATTCCAGGCCTATAGCTTACCAGTGGCTACTGGACATCTGATAATTCTGAGCCTTGTTCACATGTAATCTCTAAGGAGATCAAAGGTAGGAAATGTACAGTGAAATAGCTTCTTTTTTCTGTAATGCCAGATTAATAGAAATACTTTTTCTAAAATGAAAGTCTTGATTGGAAAAGAGTTTGCTTTATTGTCTTAACTCATTCGAACTAATTAGAAAATGCCCACATGGTGGCAGCATCAATCAGTGCAAGGAGAAAAGAATGTCTCTATACGCCTACCACCAGCCTACTATCTACTGTACTTGGTTCGTCTCATTCGTCCCATTGTCTGCTCCGTCTAAACCCTCTACCGTCATCTTCCTAATAGTTCCTTTACCTGTCTGGGGGTCCTAGCTGTGAAGTGTTTTATGTCATGTGATTTCCACTTTTCCAGAAGGTCTACGTTTGTTTGTTTGTTTCACACAAACAGCTGTTCTGGGTAAATGAGATTTTGTTTTACTGGATATATAGACTTCAATATGAATTAAGCCGCAGCAAGGAAAGGAGTGGATGATTTCCAGAATAAAGAACCTTGGCTGGGACTCCTTTCCTTGACTATGATATTGTCCAAATAATATTTAGAAACATAATTTGCATATGATTTTAATAATTTATGAAGAAATATAGAAAAATTGATTGAATTGAATGAAGTAGCTTGGCTTCAAAAAAAAGTAAAAACATTATCTTTGAAAATAAACATTAATTGTTTTTGATGTTTTTAACAGGACTTACTGGTTCTTGAAGAACAAGAGGTAAGTATAACCTCATCTATGGGGCCTTTCAATTAGTGTCGATACAGTTGTTCAACAGATGGGTCACCCTTCAGTGCTGTGGGAAAGTACAGCTCTTGCTTTTTGGAGTGACTATTCCTTTTAGCAGAAATTGCTGATTACATTCCCAGAAGTAGGTATCTCTAGAACTTGTCACTAAGGGTTTCTAAGGGCAGTTCTAGCTTTTGCTTACAGCTAGGCACTAAGAAAACTTTGAGGGAAAACCTAGTAATTTTCTCTATTTAAATTGTACACACCTGGTATGATTAGCTGGCATGAGTGAATTTGTCATTGTGAATATCTCTTACTATACCGTGTATATTTATTCAAGTATTTTTACCCTCTAGCCTCCCAGCTTTGAGAAGGAAATGTAATTTTCCCCTTCATTTGTGTTTCTTTTATGAGGAGCTGATTTGATGGAAACATCGGCTACAGTAAAGTAGAAAGCTTGGTCAGAGCTAGCAAAGACCAAAATTTGAATCTAAACTCTGTTACTTAATTAGTGGATAAGTCAGTTCCTTTGTTTGGGACTTCATTTTGTGATACCTAATATGAAAGAGATTGGACTAGATTATTTCTAATCTTCCTTCTAGATCGGTAACCTATGAAATCTTGTATATTGAAAGTAAAAATGGAAGTAGCCAGGTATTGCAGTGAAGGGAACACTGGACCTGAAGTCAGGAGGACCTGAGTTCAGATCCTGCCCTAGCTGTGTGACCTTGGGCAAATCACTTAACCTTAAAAAATAAAAGAAAGTAAAAATGCTTACAGAGGTGTTGTCATTAAGAACCTTCAGAGGCTCCTAGGAGTGCTGCTGTCTCCAGTACTTGGATTTTATTTGATCATATAATTCCACATTGTTTGCATAGTAAAATATCTTCCAGGGGATATATTGGATAAAGTATGAGATTTATGCTAATGAAAGCATTTTTATAGACTGATACTTTTCATTTACTTCCTTTATATAATTAGAGATGTGTTCCTAATTTTTAAAAATTGCTTTAAGATATAAAAAGAAAGATAATGAGTCACAGAAATAAATTGTTTAAACAATTATAAGAAGGAACAGGCAGCTTTAAAAAAAAAGGATCAAAGAGAAAGTTATGACTTTAAACCAGGCAATCTGCTCCAACTTCCAGAATATTCCAGAAATCATCAGTAATAAAACTGTGGAAAGGAAGAGAAAGAAAAAAATGGAGTGTAGTGCAACTCCCAAAATGCATCTCATTCTACTCTCCCTGTGTTCCTCCCTGGGAGTGAAGCCTATTTCAACTCAGTTTAGTAAAACAAGCATTTTTTAAGGACCTATTCCAAAGATACAGATTCTGCCTTCAAGGAACTTATAGTTCAATTGGGCAGTGGGTAAGTTTTCAAATAACTGATAAAATGAGAATAACATCAGTACAAAGAAGAGGTCCAGGCAAAGTGTTAGGAGAAATTTGAGAAGTGACAGGACAATTTGACCTAGGAAGGGAGCTAACTATTATTGTCACCAGAGCTTCATTTTTACTTGTGAGGTGAGATGACTCTGACTTTCACAGTACAGCTTGTGTCTGTGTTAGATGGTGCCATGTTAATTAATAGGCAATGTGGTGAATAAAGGGCCTATGATTCGAATTAATAGAGACTTGGGTTTGAATTCCAAATCTAACACTTAGCTGTGTAACCCTTAACGAATTTCTTAATCTTAATTTCTCCATCAGTAAAATGGAGATACTAATATTTACTCTACAAATCCCATAGGGTTGTTGTGAAGAAAATATTTTATAAATCTTAAAGGCTTAAAGAAATATTTTCCCCAAAAAATTAAAAATTAGAACTTAGAAGTTCCATAAAAGTGAGTCTCCTTACAAATGTATTTTTATATATGTGTGTATATATATATATATATATACATATATATATACATATATATATATATATATATATATATATATATATATATATCACATATATATAATGCAGGATTCTAAAGAGTCCAGTCATTTTATCAGTGCTTCCACTGGATTGGATTGGATTGGATTGGATTGGATTGGATTGGATTGGATTGGATTGGATTGGATTGGATTGGACAGGATTGGATTGGAGGTCATCCCTGTATTAGTCCTTTTATAGTATGTTTGGCTGTTGAATAACTCTTCTCAGACCTGAGACAGCAGTGTAGTATACATGAAAGAGCACTGGACTAAGGTCAAATAACCAGGGTACAAGAATTTAGAGCTGAAAAGCAACTTAGGCCAAGCCCTTCACAGAGAAGTTAGCTGATGGTCTAAGGTGACCCAGGTAGTGAGTAGCAGAGTAGGTATTTGAACCCTATTTCTCTACCTATAAACACAGCATTCTGTTTCTATTACACCGCAAGTCTGACGTCTCTTGCTGTCTTGGACTCCAGTAGACTCATTTCTAAGATAAGGATGTTGAAATAGATGATCTCTCACTCAGTTCACTTCCAAAGAGCAGTCTATGAATCTGTTGTTACTAAATCTCTATATTTATTGTTAATCTAATGCTTTTTTGTCTGAGGATCTGGGTGCCCCTAAAAGCATTATAGGTAAACTTCCGCTCTCTACATCCCCCAGATTCTTTTCTTGTGGTAGAACTGTGTTAATAAATACATTGACAAGTCCAGCTGTCTAGGAATTAAATTTCTGTCTGAAATAGTGCTGATAAGAGCATTTCTTCAACAAATGTTGATTAAACTCTGTGGAAGACACAGCTAAATCTACAAAAGGTACAAAGAAATAGAAGACTAGCAGCCTTTGTTCTGGGAGCTTGTGAGGGTAGAGTGGGGAGAGCGCTGGACTTTGGATTCAAGTCAAAGCTTTGACACTTAAATAACTTTGTAACTGTTGTATATCAGCTCTGCATCTTTGGGCAAGTCACTTAAGTGCTTTGGGCCTCACTTCTTATCTGTAAATTGAGAGGCTTAGACTGGAGGATCTCTCAGGCCCTATACAATTCTAAGTGTATGATATCCTATGTGTATAATAACAATAGCTAATGTAACACTGTGGAGCTATCACAAAGGAAAAATTTCTTCAGAAGGGACATTCATAAATATACAAACTCACTCCCCCCCAACACGAGGGAGGCATAATTCTCTTCCCCTTTTGCACCATCTCAGTCACTGGGAAGAAGGGGATTAGATTCACAGTTTAGCTCAGTTCCCATAGAGCACAGTCCCAGGACCAAGTCCAAAACCCGCCACCTTCTTGAGTCCCAGTCACCTTGGCTTTTCAGGGCTTCTATGTTGAAAGGACTAGTTGCAGACAATCCTGGCTCAAAGATCACCATGGTTTATATTCCTGGTCCTATGGAAATCACCTCTATCATTTAAAACTGAGTACAAACAACACAGAACAGAAACAAACACCCATAGGCCCATTTCTTGGAGCCAGGGTAAAAGAGAAAGAGCAAGGAAAGTGCAAGGCCCTTCTCCTTTCTCACTGGTTCAGTTCATAGCGTCTATACTAGGCCCAGCTGCTAGGAGCACAGCCTAAAAGGTAACAGAGAGAGCAAATGGCTCAGCTACACTAACTTTAAAGACACAAATAACCATACTTAGTGAAACTAGACATGCTTAAAGCTGTTAAAGATCCAAAAATGAAATGGATTGCCTCAGAAAGCAGTGGGTTTTGCCTTCACTAGCTGTTATCAACAAACAACAGTTTAATGATATTATCCTTACAGTCCATTTGTGGAAATAGGATATATACATATGAAACACACAGTTGCAAATTCCTCAGACTCTGAATATCAAATTTATTAGGGACTAGACAGATAGCCTAGGAGTTACTAGACTCACCAAGAAAGGTGAAGAAATACTCTGGCTGCCATAATTCAAAAGTGTGTAAGAAAATTTTCCAAGGATACAGAAATCAGGGAAGAGATTCCAAAATTACAGGATCCACAGGATACCAACAGGAATAAACCTGAGGTTCAACTCATCCAAATATATTGCTTTTAAATTCTAAGGCTACAGTAACGAGGTAATAGGAGATGATGTTAGAGGGATCCAGAAAAATCCAATACATATATACCAAATTGAACAGGGTCAAAAGAAATTGTGATATAATAAAAGTCAAGGAAAATAGAACTTAATCCCCAAATCTCAGGGAAAAAGTGAGCATAATTTTTGTAAGACATCACAGAAGTTTCAGGAATTTATAGACAAGCAACCCAGCCTTGGAGTCATTTTTGATGTGCAAATACACTAAAAAGATGTCACCAAGGTAAAAGCACCCTTTACAACTATGAATGACTAATGACTCCCTTTAAATTCTGCAGAGGAATAATAAAATAAATAAAAGTAATATTGTTTTAGTTAACATCTTTCTCAGTATAATCATTTGATGGGGGTAAGGGTGGGGCTGTGAATGGGAGTGAGGAGGAGACATCAAAACAGCACATATTGATTTAACATCTGTATCAGTGTTATCACAATGAAGGGCATCAATGGTATCTACTTCAGTATAAGTTCCACAGTAGGAAAACAAGCCAGCCGTATGTTGTTTATATTAACTAAATGGTACAAGTGGGTTTGAGGAGGGAAAATTTTAAAACGAAAGACAAATAGTTAAAGGATTGATGAGAAGAATGACTTTGTTATGGGTACTACAAACGAAGAAAAGGAGAAAAATAGAAGTGTAGAAACGGAAAGAGTGATACTTCTATGTCAAATAAGGAAGAAGGTCCAGAAGTTAAATTTTTAAAAAACTTATAGTAGTAATATTATAAAATATAAGAACTGTTTGTTATGTGTGTATGCTTTAAGATTGGAATAGTATTCGTCCTTATGAAATTAGGTTGATTATTGTCCTTGCTGACAAGACAGATAATAGCATATAGTATAATGTAGGAATAAAAATCAAATGTAATGGTTGTAATCTTGAAGGTAAATAGATTGAATTCCCTAATCATAAGAACTAGTTTCTGAATAGATTAAAAAACACAACTCCAACAATATTTTGACTCCATGGAAC